CCAGTTGGTCCGCTACGAAAAAAACACTGTTCATGAGCCGGAACGCCATCCAGTCCTGTCTTGGCCAATATAAGAGAGTTGCATCCAACTACAAGACGACGGCGGACCTATTCCAGGCGGTTGTTGCGGATGTGCCCGTCAGCTCCGAGATGCTGAAAAATGCATTTATGCAGAACAGCATGTGTCTCGGTGCCGCTTTTGTCTTACCCACCAAAGACGATCATTTCCGTGTGAGCCTGCCACCCTTGCACATTGCAGCAGGCCAGTTCGAACTTCCAACTGAGATGGATCAGGACACTCAAGATGAAGTTCGTCGCATGCTGACGAATTTTTGCTCACCTACGTGGACGCAGTTCGAGGAGCTCACGGGCAGCGCGCCAGCTTTGCGAGTTGCTGCGTTGTCAAAAAGCAAAATGGGCTTCATTTTTGATGGTTATACGGTTCTGCAGCATGTCTTTGGAAGCTTGGTGTCCAATACCAAGGCCCAAGAACTGCTCAGAAAAAGAGTGAGGAAAGATTTTGCAGTGCGTTATGTCAGAGGTGGCACAGATGTGGCAAAAGTGAACTTTTCTAAGCTCAGTTGTGATGCTGGCGAGAAGGAGCTGTTGACCATTAGCATGGCCGGAGATCACGATTAAACATTCGACCACTTCCTCATTGTTCCGCTTGACGACGGCGAGAAGCTCATGTTTTGCTTAGATGCAAAATTTAGCGTGGAAGGTGAGAAGATGGGCTTGAACTTCCAGCAAGACATTCAGCCCAAGCTGAAAGGATTGTCAGCAATGAAGCTTCCACCAAGTTGGCATACTTTAGTCCTTATCGTATCAAATCGCAAGATAACCGAAGGCCAAGCAAGAAATGCAATGACATCTGCAAAGACACCGCTGGTACTGAGCACCTGCAGCGAGCGGCGGTGAAAAAGGCAGAGTTAGTGGATGTGAGTGGGACGCTCGTGCATGTACGTTTTGCAGCCAAAACACCCCGAGCGCTTGGGATTGCAAGGCGGGGTCATGAACGTGAACGAACAGGGGCTTGTAATGCGGGGTTGCAAGGGTTGCGTCGGTTCTCATTGCAATCCCCATTCTATATAAACGTTGCAGGCTACTCATTGCCAAGTCCAATAGTGTCATCCTGCAGATGGCCTGCGTTGATGGTGCTGGCTGCAGCGCTGCGTCTGCTGGACTTGTGCCGCGCACAGCATGTCCGTTGTCCCCAGGTGAGTCAAAAGCAGAAAGCCAAATACAACCAAAAACGCTTGCAGAAAAAGGACTGTCCACTTCGGTCCTCCCGCCCGGCTTGCAGCGCTGCCCAGGCAGCTGCTCGAACATTGCCTCGCCGAGTGGTACTTTCACGCAGGCGCAGCTTATTTGCAGCTTCTGCTTATCTTTGCCCGCGCTTTGCGTGGGTCATCCGGTGTTGTGAGGGTCTGTCCACAAGCTTGCGGAACCTGCCATTGGACGTGTCAGGAGGCATCATTGCAGTTTCATGCAGTTTCCATTCCGCTTGCAACCGTCTCACGCCTTCCTGGGAGATGCGTCAGGCTTGGTGGGGAACAGCTACGCGCTCTGCGTTGACTTGGATGGGGACCATTGCCACTGGGGCCAACTGGCGAGGTCTGCCCAAACTTGGGCACTCGTGTCTTTTCTGTGCAGAACCGGTGTTGTTCTTTTCTGCGCAGGTCACATCGTTGGCTTCTGTGGCACCCGTGACAGTGAGCGCTGGACAAGTTCTGACACTGCGCTGCAATGTGGACGCCCAGCTGCATTTCTAAGTCAGGCCATTTGTATGGCAGCTTGGGATGCTTCGGCCTTGAGTGCGTTCAACTCTTGAGACCTATGTTGTACAGTCATTCCCCGTCAATCTGAGGCCTGCGCAGCGTTTAGCATCCACTTGGCAGAGGTCTGCAGAGGCGTGACAGAGACTGCTTTTTTCAATGGTATCGGCCGACAATGGGCTGGATCGATTTTTGCAGGCATTGGGCTTCTTCCGGCAGAGATACCAGGCAACTCATCTCTTTTGTTTCTTGCACCAGCAGTCCTAGTCACTGCTTCCAGTGACGGCGTGAGCTGGAAGGTGGTCCTTCGCATACGCCGCTGTTGTGTCTGGTGATGCGCCGACTGTGACGGTGGACGCTTCTGCCTTGCGACCTGGGCGCAGCTATTCGCGCTGTGCTGCTGCCTCAGTGCTGGAGCCCTAAGCCACGCTCGAAGCGAAGGTCGTCCATGACGGTCCTCAGGGCGTTTTTCCCAGTGTGCTGCAAAGGTCGACCACGGGTCGGGCGCCGGGGACTCTGGGCTGAGAGTCTACCTGGAGTGTCAGACGTGGAGCCCAAGCAGATCCGCGCAGCGCAGGCGCTGCCACATGCCACATGTTTCTCAGGACAAGACGTGGCAGGTCTTGCAAGCGTTGCAGGCGTTGCAAGTGTTGCAAGTCAGTGCCATTGGGAGAGTATGATACTTCTCCTCATGCAGGCTCAGGAGTTGAGCTTCACTTGTGATGTTTGCTCTAGCCGGCCTGACGACAGGCTGAACGTGCAGATGAAGCAAGTGCGACGTGATAAGACATGAGATGGCGGAGAAGCACAAAGACGCCGGATGCAAGTGGCCTGCAGCTAGGGCTGGGGGGCTCAGTCCAACTCCAATGAAGGGCATTTTTTGTCCACCGTCATGCTACATGTGCAGGCAAGCCTACATCGCTTGCGTTGACCTTGATGCCTTGACGGCGATGGTATGAAGTACACAGTGGGCGACTCTGGTGTTGTTGCATACGTCTCTGGTGCCCAGGCTGAAGCAATTTGTTTCTTGTATTGTCGGATTTTGCATCTTTGTCATCAAGGTTTTCCTTCCTGTGGATTCTACTGCGTAACCTCTGCAGATGGCTATGTGTCTCCAGCCATTCACAGCTTTGCATTGGCCTGCGACGCTTGCACTGCAGCTTTGCAGATGCACAGCTCCTGGCATATGATTGCAAGGCAAGCCGCTGTTTCGAGACAGACCCCTGTGCCTCGCGCCGCGCTTTGCGCGGCTCCGGGACTCCAGGACTCCAGGACTTCAGGACCAGGAGTGGATTTCTTCGGCAAAAGCGCGTGGCCCATGTGGACGGCCTGGACGGAACTTGCAAGTCGGCATTTATCACAAGCCCTGCGCGGACATGGAAGGCGATGCTTGTCCTGTTGGCGCTGTTATGTCGACACATCTTATGCTATGGCCACCTTTGGGTACTTTTGGCCTACTTCTTTCCGCGTTTGAGTAAGGACATCGCGACCTTGCCAGCAGGCCCAGCAGGCTTCGATGTCTATGTCTATGTACCCTGTCTGCTAAGTGTCAACGAAAGCGTACTTGCAACATGCTGGTTTACTTTCGAGCTCCTGAAAAAAGGCACCAAAACGGGAACCCAACTTTCAGGCACTACCATACACTCCTTTGACGTGCTGAGCTCTGCAGCAGTCCAAGGGCTACAGGATTCCCAACTGCAGCGAATCAGATCGTCCAGACATGGGCCTGGGAGCTTGGCATGAAGTCTGGGATGGGTTGGCAGTTGAAGCTACTTGGGTACCAGAGTTTCAATTCCCAGAGTTTCAAGCTCGCGTGCAGACACATAGACGGGCCTCGCAAAAACGCGGACGCCCCCGTGTGTGCCGCCTGGCGCTGTCACGAGAGACTAAGATGGACATGGCGGACGTTTCCTCAACACGTTTGCTCTGCTTTAAAAAAGATGCAACTATTTGTTGGGGAGTTGTGAACACCAATTTCCGCAGTTGGGAAAAACAACGCTGAGATCTATGATGGCCGGACCACAGCATTCGGCATTGGCAACGCCTTTGGCACTGGGAAGACGGAGGTTGCGATCCGGAGTGCCGAGATGACCTGCGCAACGCAGCCCGGCTTGAGAGTCGCTTCCATCTCCTTCAGCAATGGATACAAGAGCCCAGCTTTGACTGACACCGTGAAGGACGACAGCTTGAGGGCAAAGAGGGGCAGCCAGGTGCTCCGATGCAGCAAATACTGCGGGCTGGATACGGGCAACGCGGGTCATTGACAACGAGGTGCAGGGCAATGCGAGGCTTTTTCAAGGGATTGTTGCAGCTTACATGGGAAATCCTCAGTGGAAGCTTCCTGGCTATGTTGAACAAACCGATGCCAAACTAATCGTCATTCTTGACGAGGTGCAGGAGTTCGCCTTCAGCACGCTGGAAGGCCTACCATGATCATTGTGCCGTCAAAGACTCGCATGAGTGTGGTTGGTGCTTTTGCGCCGTCCTTTTTGAACCCCTCTGCCAGTCGACCGCGCGATGTAAGGCTGCCAGTATAAGCAGAGGATGACATGGAGCAGATTTTCCAGGACAGGATTCCAGGTGCGCGGATCAATTTCGAAGGAGTGTCATTGCCGGGGCTCTTCGGCGGCTGTGTGCGGCCGCTAGCCATTTGGTCCTCTGCGAAAGAGGAACTTGGAATGAACCAGGACCCCACCCAGTCCTGTCTTCGCCAATATGAGAATCTTGCATCCAACTACTGGACGACGGCGGACCTCGTTCAGGCGGCCGTTGCGGATGTGCCCATCTGCTCTGAGATGCTGAAAACTGCATTTATGCAGAACAGCCTGAGTCTCGGCGCCGCCTTCGTCTTACCCAAAGACCGGCATATCCTTGTTTCGCTGCCACCCTTGCAGATTGCGGCAGGCCAGTTCGAACTTCCAACTGAGATAGATAAGGGCACTCAAAGGAAAGTTCGTGACATACTGCACCTACGTGGACGCAGTTCGAGGAGCTCACGGGCATCGCGCCAGCTTTGCGAGTTGCTGCAACATGGGCCTGATTCTTGGTGGCCATACCGTTCTGCAGCATGTCTTTGGAAGCGAGGCCTCCAATACCAAGGCCCAGGAACTGCTCAGAAAAAATGTGAGGGAAGATCTCGCAGTGCGTTGGGTCAGAGGTGGCACAGATGTGGCAGCAGTGAACTTTTCTCAGCGATGCTGGCGAGAAGGAGCTGTTGACCATTGGCATGGCCGGAGATCACGATTCAACATTCGACCACTTCCTCATTGTCCCGCTGGACAATGGCGAGAAGCTCTTGTTCTGCTTAGATGCAAAATTTAGCGTGGAGGGTATGGAGAAGGACTTGAACTTCCAGCAAGACATTCAGCCCAAGCTGAAGGGATTCTCAGCAATGAACCTTCCAACAAGTTGGCATACTTTGGTCCTTATCGTGTCGAATCGCAGGATCACCGAAGGACAAGCAAGACGTGTAAAGAATTCTGCAGAGGCACCGCTAATCGCAGCAGGGGCGGAGCACCTGCAGCGCGTGCTGTCGTGCTCTTTGGTCCCACCAGCATACAGAGAGCGGCGGCGAAAAAAGCAGAGTTAGTGGATGTGAGTGGGACGCTGGTGCATGTTGCAGCCAAAACACCGCGAGCGCTTGGGATTGCAAGGCGGGGTCATGAACCTGAACGAACAGGGGCTTGTAATGCGGGGTTTGCGTCGGTTCTCATTGCAATCCCCATTCAAATTATTTTGACCTCGGCTGCGAAGAAGCCATTGAAACTGCATCTCTAGAGTCTGCGTGTGTGTGTGTGCTTAGAAGACCTGAATTGAAAAATGTTGGCGTGCCTGCCGACGGGGTTTTGGGGCGAATCACACTCCGGGATTCTTTTTTGTCATGGGATGCTTAAGGCTTGTGGAGGGTGGCCTTGACTCCTTGCACCCCGTTACACAAGAAAAGCTTCCCCAAAAACGGCGTGGTGAAAACGATCTGCTTCTGCGCACGCACCTGCCGCAGGATGGCAAAAAAACAACTGTGCGTCAGCAAAGCTTCACACACTAGGCTGTCACCAAGGCCGGCCCAGTACGTCCACTAAGTACTGTTGGGTCCACCGGGCCCACTGTGTCCACACACCATACGCCTCGGAGAAGCCATCCTTCTCCATGCAAACCATGCAAAAGACATGACGGTCGTAGTGCTTCGCATGCTGAGTAAGGAGTGCTCCCTCTGTTGGCGAAGTTTGCAAAGCCGACGTGCAAACAGCCAGGTTGCTTTTGGCGTTTCCGGCCTCTGCGTTCAGGCCAGGTGGCGTCCAGCGTGTTTCTCACATGGCCGGGGTCCTTTGCAGATGGAGGATCCGATGAGATTGTCAGCGCTAGCAGGCCGCTGGCCTGCTTGCAAGCCTCTGGCTTGCCCCCACGGTGTGGGCGCTGCTGGGGCGAACCGACCAGTTTGCCAGCGAAACGTCCGTGGGGCCCAGGATTTGCTCCCTGATGCCAGCCACCACCTCGTCGGCCCCTCCGAGGCTGCCTCCGTGACTCCCAGCTTGCCGGCTAGCCGTCCATGTAGTAGCTGAGCAGTGCGGCGGCGATGCTCGAGGCCGTTGCCGTGTCCTGGTCGGCAACCGAGCGGTACGCCACCAGGATCTGGTTGGTCGTGAAAACGTCCTGGTCCGGGCCCGTCCGGTAGGCCAGCAGCGCGCCCGCGATGGCTGCCTGCGTCTCCGGTAGTCGGTCAACAGTGCGTCCACTTGCGCCGGGGTGTAGTAGGCCAGCAGCGCAGCCGAGATGGCGCTGGTCGTCTCGGCGTCCTGCGCCGTCCCCGTTCGGTAGAGCAACAGCGCGTCCACTTGCGCCGAGGTGTAGTAGGCCAGCAGCGCAGCTGCGAGGGCCGCGTCCGCCGCTGCGATGGAGTAGCAGTCGGCCGTGATGCTCAGCGTGTCGTCGCCGTTGGCCAGCGCAGCAGAGAGAGGAGGTTCGAGATGCAGGTTGCGAACGACGTTGCTTCCGCGAACGAGCTCCCAAGTTGTGAACCCCGCCCAGGCCGGCGCGTTAACAACTCCGCCGCTGCCGGAAGCTGCAGGGCGGCGAGCTCCGCGAGGATTGCGTCGAGGGCGCTCTGGAGCGTGGTCTCGCTGGGCTGAGAGCGCGGCGTTCGTGGCGTACGAGGCCAGCAGCGTCGCGTCGCCCTTGGCCCCCTGGAGCGCCGAGATGCTGGCGTCCCGGCTAGCAAGCTGCGCTGCGACGTAGGCCTCGGTGGCAAGACCCAGCAGGGCATTTGCTATCTTGGTGTCTACCTCCACCGGCGTTGTGCGTACGCGGTCAGGGGTGGCGTCTGCCTTGGAGGCCTGCAGCCCCGAGATGGAGGCGTCTCGACTTGAGGAGGGTGTTGGCCACCTTGGTGTCGACCTCCAGCGGCGTGATCCTTGCTGCGATGTCGAGGGAGTGCTGGTCCACCACCGTCTTGAGGCCGTAGTTGGCTGCCACCGTGGCCAGCGTGGCGTTGTTGGCCGAGGCGATGGAGCCATTCATGGCTGCCAGTTTGACAGCTTCAGGTCCACGCTGTCGGGGGTGCTCTTCGAAGGCCGACTGGTCAGCCTTGTTCGAGAGACCCGTGGTCAGCGAGCTCTGCAGCGCAGCGATGCTGCTCCCGTGCGCAGCCACCTGCCCGTCCGTGGTGGCCAGGGCTGAGGTGCGATTGGCGGCGCCAGTGCGCGCTCTGCAGTGACCCGGTCGTCCAGAGACTGGATGGCAGCTGTGTTGTTGCCGGATGCTGCTGTGTTCACTAGGTCTGCCACTTGCGCGTAGGGCGCCCTGCGGTGACGTGCGTGCCTTCCGTCACCTCTCCGTTGTCCAGGACCTCCGGGATGTTCCCGGTGACAGGTCCTTCAAACATCTTTACATATGTTTTCGCCGACGCCTTAGTGCAGTGGCTAAGGCGTCGGCCAAGGAACTGACCGCTTCTTACTCCGCCTGCCCGGACGGCGAGTTGGGTACGGGGCCCAACACGCCAACCACTGCGCCACTCAAAGCTCCACGACAGAAACGCACTTACAAGGCCAGAAACAGCGCTTTAAGCCCGGGCAACTCGAACTTTCGAGACGCACAGAATGCGACTAGGACCCGTTTTGCCTGCATATTGAAGCAAGCTGAAAACCCTTGCAGAAGTGCAAGCAGAAGGGCTGTGGCCGCACCGCGCAAAACCACCAAATTTTCGCAGAATCCACATATGCTGAATGATAACCTCTGAGGATGCGCTGTGAGCGGTTTTAGATTTCACAAATAACAGAGAGAGCCTCGGCGTCCTCGAATCTGTACATCAAGAAGTGGACGTTGATCCTCTTGCCGCAAACGGACGCGGCCTTGCTGCGGCGCCCACCACGCCCGCGCTCTTCAGCAGGTCGGAGACGTTGAGCTTCACTCGCTTGCCCGGATGCTCCACCTCGTGCTCCTGCCGGGTCGCTTTGATAAAGGATTCGCAGGCCGCGTGGATGTCCTCCCTGCTGTCCGCACTCGAGGCGCCGGTGGCTCTCTCCGTCTTGGTGGACAGGAGGACTTCACTAAGTCGCCCACCTCGTCCTTCACTTCCACCTTCAGCAGGGCCAGGCATTTCGTGGGAATCGGGCCGATGGAGTGGGCCTGTCCTTCAAAAGGTGCTTGTAGACCAGGTGCAGGATCGCGAAGAAGGAGGGTGTGGTGGATCGAATGGTGTCCTCCACCGGGACCCACGTTTTCTGGATGGCTAAGAACTGCGGCTTGTACCTCACGATCCTCTCGTACAGGTCGCGCCCAGACAGCTCGGAGATCGGGTCGGTGAACTTCTTGTACACCTGGAGCCGCATCGTCTCACTCCCGTCCACCTCCCGGATGCTCACAAACTTTCTGGCGCGGCAAAGCGCATAGACGGGGGAGGGTGCGTTGGGGTCGCGAATCTTGGAGAACGTGGAGGCAGCACTTGTGTCCAGTGTCCGAGAGGATTTTGAAAAATCTCGTGCACTCCGTACGGCATACTGACGTGGGCCGCGGGTGTCCGCATCACAACCTGGGCGAAAATCCCATGATGCGTTGGCGGGGATGTGAATGCCTTCATGACGTAAGCGTGGTGCTCCCGCCAGCGGATGTCCCTGGCATTCCAGAGTTCCAGAGTGTGCGTGCCCGCGTCCTTGCAGATCCGCCTCGGCCGCCTCGAGCGCGCTCTGAACCGAGAGCTGTGGCTTCAGCGTGAAAGCGAACTCTCCCAGCACGGACTTGATCTCGTTGCGCAGCAGGCCCAAATCGCCCTCGAACTCCAACCTATGGACCACGTTCACAACTCTGTCAATGAGCTCCCTCTCCTGTGCGGTGTTCAAAACGTAGCAGAGGAGCTCGCGGGGTCGGGCGGTCTCGTTTCTCAGCCGCTTCAGCACGTCGCGGTTCTTTGAGCAGTCCTCGGCAACCAGAGCTCTCACCGTCCTCTGAAACTCGAGCGCGTAGTCCATCATTGGAAAGGTCGTCTTGTGCGCCGTCGCCCAATTCTCGATGCTGCCACCGTAGAGGAGCCTCAGGTAGAGCTCTTTGGCTGCAGTCCGGTCGGGGTGCGTCTTTGCCAGCACGGCGTCCCGCTCTGCCACGAAATTCTTCAAAAATGCGGAATCGTGGCAGTTCGCCAGGTCGAACGTGTAGTGGTTGCGCAGCCCGGCTCTGGCCACGTCTCTCAACCATCTCGGCAGCATGAAGGTGGAAGCCGCCATGTTCCCGCTGGCCACTCCTGGGTTCTTCAAGCGGAGCGCCTTCAACTGATCTCCGTCCGCCCCCCCCGTGTGCCGCCTCCCCTTCTTCTTGGGATCCACCATGAGAGACTCCTCGAAGTAGACAGTCTTGTAGGCGCGTGCCGCGCAGGGAAGCCTGTTCCGGCCGCACTGCACAAGGAACAGCGTGGGACCGGAGCCGTTGCTCAAGCGGAACACCTTGGATACCTCCCGCGTGGCCAACTCTCCAAGAGCCTCCTCGTTCACGTGGTCAAAGAGAATTTGCGGCTCGTTCCCCTCCTTGTCCACGTCCTCCATGAGAGGTGCCTCGGCCACTCCTTGCAACACAAGGTTCCTCGCGGCCTTGTTGTGGCCCCCTTTCTAGCCTGTGCCTCTGGCCTCCGCAATCTCCCCCTCCACGATCTCTCCCTCCATGTTCGCGTTCAGATGGTCCATGATGCCGGGTACTGTCGGGCTATTGATGGACTATGGGGAGATCGAATTGTCTCGAGTGTGTCGAATTGCTTCTGCGGACAGCGTCACATCAAAACTTGCCAAGCTCCGATTGCACTTCTCGCTCAAACAGGACAACTGTTCCCCCAGGCCTCCACTCAAAGAGGACATCAAAATGCTCGGTCCGCTCGCGTCCACGCAAGCATCGGCTGCCGCCCAGCCGTGCACCGACGGACAGCCAGCCGAAGAAACGTGTCTCAGACCTGTCTCAGCAATAACAAGACACAGCCTAAGATTGAGACATCCGCCAAACCACAAGCAGAAGTGTCTCAGGTGTCTCAATCTTTGGATGGCTGTCTTGTTATTGCCGGGACAGGTCTGAGACACATTTGAGACACTTCTGTTCGTGTTTAGTGTTGCCTAAAAG